TACGGCAAAAGAGCCTATTAACTGTCAGTTGACTTCTGACTTCAAACTACCATCATCCCACTGTATGTCATATTCCACCACTTTCACTGTACTCATCTTACCTTTTCTCTGCCTTTGTGTCTGTCTCTTACATATACGAATCACTCTTCTGTTCCCCTTCTCCACTTTTGATATCATCATCTTTTGATTAGAATTGAAAGATCCAACGTATTCAAGAGCTGTTAAGTGTATTTCGTCCATGATGCATTATGTGATATTCTTTCATAATATTTCAGTCTGTTTAAGGTAGTCAGTGTGTCTGAACACCTTCAGGCACGAATACCAGGAATCGTGTAAGATTGATTCATTAAATGTTTATAAAGTAAGATTAAACCTGACAAAGTCTTCACACTCTCTCCAAAATATACCCGATCCCAGGCTACCCCACTGTTTCCCTTGTCACGAAGTCCTCCTGGAATAAACAGAGTAACCTCTTGAAAATGCGACTTTGAGTGCCATCCCAAATGCCCTCTTTAACTCTCATTGAAATAGAACGGAATTGATTTATTTCGCATGATTCAATGTGGTCAAAATAATTTATTTTGAGCTCTAAGCAATAATAGCTTTAAATATTCAGCTGATTGGCGCACTGATTTGCCTGATTAGCAATATCATCTGAGGCTCTTATGAGGAGGAGCATATTTAATATTCAAATACTTTTCAGAGGAAAACGGTGAGTTTCGGGTTCAACGATTATTTCAAAAACATTACACCACAACATCAGACTTTGGAGGAGGGAAGGTTTCCCAAGAGCCTTTCTAATGAGCGCAAACAGACATTTTCCTAAAATCCATCCTGTTGTTTAGACACAATCGAAGTGGCTACTAAATTTACCTCCCCAAACATTTACTAATAAGCATCGATCTCTCGAGGACACTTCCTTAAAATGCGAATTGATGCAATAATGAGCATTAATGGCAATATCCCCCTGGACAAATCCGTGGGTGAGCACCTTATTCTATTTGCAGTAAATGTGAGAAGGCCAATCAAACACCTTTTGAGGAAACAAAGACACTCAAAATGGAGATGGTAAACATACCGAAGCGAGTTCCTGCCGGGGGGTGGCCATTAGGAGGGCGAAGTCGTTGAGTAGTTGAAGGGCGTCATTGTAGTGCTGAACACCCGCGTTATGCATCCATTTGCGCAAGGCTTTCACTAGATTCACCAACTGTGTTCCCGTCTCCCAGTTAATTAGCAATTCGCCTGAACAAAAAAGTTGTGAAAATTAATTAAATAAATAATAATAATAATAAATAAAAGTCACTATTATAAAGGTTGAGTTAGAGCTTCTCTGTAAAGGGATCACTTATTGCAATCTCTTTATTCAAAATGAATGTTTGAGAACCGGGGTGTGCGGTTGACTTACCTCCACGTGGTGCACCCTGGACAACGTATACTCACACCTTACCTCCACGTGGTGCACCCTGGGCAACGTATTCTCATTCGGCTACCTCCACGTGGTGCACCCTGGGCAATGTATACTCATACACCTCCACGTGGTGCACCCTGGACAACGTATACTCATACGACAAAAAAGTCTATAATCCAGGCAGTTGACTTTTGACTTCAAACTACCATCACCCCAGTGTATATCATAGTCGACCACTTCTACAGTACTCACCTTACATTTTCTCTGTCTTTGTGTCTGTCTATCTCTTTTACATCGGTGAATTCTACTTCTGTTTCTCCTCTCGAATTTTTATCACTTTGATGTTCTTTCCTCTCTGTGAAGTCCAAAGTCAGCTATAGGGCTAAAAATAGCAACCAAAACCCCTGCCATTTGAAATAAATAAATGTTTGAAAACAGGTTTTAATGTAAAAGAAATATTTATCTAGTTTTCACATCTCCATTTTATGAAAAAATTTAGTTCGTTCGGCCGTAAATTCACAAAAAACGCTTTGCTTTCTAAGACAAGATATCTTATGGCTTAAGTAGTCTATGGAGAATTGATTCAATAAAAACTCAATGTGACCTAATAAGACCAACTTCCTATCGATCTGATTAAAAGAAGGGTTATTTATTTACTGATTATTACAGGAACCTTCGATTTTGAGTAGACATTGCATGAGACAACAATAGCTCTTGTATTACGAACAACTTCATGTTTTATCATAATTTTGTGTTTTGAGAGAGTTTAATGCGGATAAAGGTTCTCACAATTTCAAAATCATACGTGACTGACTCATCTCAATGAACTCAGATGTTTCCTTACATTGGCCTGGTTCTCAGTGCAAACCAACTCGAAGAGGACTACTCAACGCATAATTTCTTAAATAAGGGGTGCGCAATAGACTTACCTCCACGTGTTGCACCCTGGGCAACGTATACTCATACGGCAAAAAAGTCTTTTAACTGCACCCTGGGGAACGTATACTCATACGGCAAAAAAGTCTAACACCCTGGGCAACGTATACTCATGCGACAAAAAAGTCTAAACTGGTGCACCCTGGGCAACGTATACACGGCAAAAGAGTCCGTGGTGCACCCTGGGCAACGTACACTCACACCTTACCTCCACGTGGTGCACCCTGGGCAACGTATTCTCATTCGGCTACCTCCACGTGGTGCACCCTGGGCAATGTATACTCATACACCTCCACGTGGTGCACCCTGGGCAACGTATACTCACGATAGACTTACCTCCAGGTGGTGCACCCTGGACAACGTATACTCAAACGGCACGTGGTGCACCCTGGGCAACGTATACTCATACGGCTCCACGTGGTGCACCCTGGGCAACGTTTACTCATACGGCTCCACGTGGTGCACCCTGGGCAACGTATACTCATAAGGCACCACGTGGTGCACCCTGGGCAACGTGTACTCATACGGCAAGTAAGTCTATCACGTGGTGCACCCTGGGCAACGTATACTCATACGGCAAACAAACTGGTGCACCCTGGGCAACGTATACACGGCAAAAGAGTCCGTGGTGCACCCTGGGCAACGTACACTCACACCTTACCTCCACGTGGTGCACCCTGGGCAACGTATTCTCATTCGGCTTACCTCCGTGGTGCACCCTGGGCAATGTATATTTAGACTTACCTCCACGTGGTGCACCCTGGGCACCGTATACTCATACGGCAAAAAAGTCTATTAACCGGCAGTTGTTGCGATAGACTTACCTCCACGTGTTGCACCCTGGGCAACGTATACTCATACGGCAAAAAAGTCTATTGATCGGCAGTTGACTACTGACTTCAATCTACTATGGCCCTACCATCTGTCATATTCGACCCCTTCCAAAGTACTCATCTTACCTTTTTTATGTCTTTGTGTCTGTCTGTCTGTCTCTTTTACGTCTGTGAATCACTCTTCTGTTCCCTCTCTAGACTTTTTGTCACTTTAATGTTCCTTCTCCTCTCTGTGAAGTCCCGAAGTCAGCTCCAGGGCCAATGATAACTATCAAAACGCCTGCCATTTGATATAAGTAAATAAATTTCTTAAATAAACCTCCAGGTCATTCTAGCCATTATTTTTCGAATTTCTCCTTCTTCCATTTTCCAGGGGTCTCCACGAGACGCCAATTCAAGATTTTGCTAAAATCTAATGAATGTAAGGACTATTTGTTGACAACTCACTTCCAAAGTGGTATATTTGGAAGGGGAAGGGGTTATTTTGAAGCTTCTGAGATAATTTCTTAGTTTAATTCACCTTCAACCAAACTTCGTGGAATGTAATTTCCGGTTTTTTTTCGAATTTTTGCTAAAATTACTGAATGCGGCAATTTTGCATTCAAAATTCAGAAAATCCCCAAAATTCTCATACTCCATATTTTATAAAGTCTAAAAAAACCAATTTTCCCCATCTTGACAGCTTTGTATAATAGACAGGCATTCATTTAAAGATATAAACTTTAAAAGTTATACTTCTCAAAGAATAAATACCTCACATTAAACAGGCGCAGTATCACAGAGGTAACATACGATTAAAACTAACGATTTAAACAAATCTCTTTCCCTACACACCTTTAGTTAAAGATGAAGCTAGTAATATCGTTACCAATCATCTCCATTACATATAATAATTAGACCCCGTTCAATATTATCTTTATATATACTGTAAAATCTCCATTATTGCAAGCCATATTTACCAATCATAAATTATATTTTATTATAAAATTTGCTTTAATTTCCATATTTCGTGAAATCCGCCTTAGACCTTGAAGAAAACATGCGGAATTTGTTGCCTCGCCGTGGCCCGATTTGAGCGAGATTAAAGATTAATGGAATATTTTTGAATAAAGAAAATTTTTAAAGAAAAAGATGTTCAATATTATTTTCGACTTAGTTTTAACCTTTGCTTTAATCCAATATAACTCACTCGATTGTTTAAAATATATTTTCACTAACATCCTTGTTTTTCTTCAAATATTGAGTTCCTTTTAGCTTTGTTCTATTGAAAGTCTCACATTATCTTATCTAACTAATACTGGCGCAAAAAATATTGATTTATTTTCAGTGTATATAAAATAAATTAGGAAAATCGTGACTTTAAAATTCCTCATCGTCGAACTTACGATTATTAACGAACTCCTCAATGATTAGTTTCGTAAGACCGACCAGGAAGCGGCAATAGAAAACACTTTCAACTCTTTGTTGAGCGCACTTTGTTGAAACTCCAGAATTACTACTTCCAAAGCCAGTGTCTTCCTCTTCTCCAGGCGCGGAACGTATCTCGTCATCATTATTCAAAGAACTGAGTCCGGAGGGAGATGTAACATCTCGTTCTCCTTCGACGTCAGAATCAATCACACTGGAGTTGTTCCTGCCAACGGATGAATCCATACTGTTTGAATCCAAAATGTCATGTTCTTTAGCAGGCGTCATCGCCGACGCACGACTCTCGCCCCTATCAACGTAAGGTTGAGCTTGGGTCAATCGAATAGCCCCATTCGTGTTCGTAACGATGGGGGATTCAGTTGGAGGAGTTCCGGCGGTAAGTGCTTGACTGATTGCGTTACCTGTCCAGTCGAGCCGATCAAATAGCGAAGCCTGTGCTTCACGAATTTGTCGAACTGTGTCGGCGCCAACTGAGGCACTACCGAAGAGACGACAAAGTTTGGTCACTTTCCGAGCACCCGCCTAAATAAAAAATTAAAACTATTCATTAAAATTTATAAAGAATGGAAATAAAATGCTTTTAGAGTGCTGGAGAAATTTTTAGGGCTTTAGTTTGGTTTTTTGTTTAAAAAAGACAAGATGTTTTAATGTCTATTGCTTCCGAAAAAAACAACCCACTTCAGAGCGATATCATGTCGTAAGAAAAACTCTTCAAACATGGTACTTTTTTATATTTTTGGGTTTTAAAAATACACACATTTAAACAAATAAATAAATAAATGTACCTTGAACTAAGGGGGAATAATTTAATTGTCATATTTCATTACTCCTTTCGCGAAAATGACGTAAAAAACACCCCCCCCCCACCACGAAGCTATTATTGAAATTTATTAGTAATTAAGTGCAAACGCATTAAATCAATTTAGAAGCGGATAATTTCGAAAACAATTCTTCAGTGGTCATCATAACTTTTTTTCGAATTTATTTCCAAAAGGTACACTGCGTATAAGGTTCTTCGATTTGGGATCTACATTGAGATCCTTTTAATATAATGTGTAATAATATAATGTATAATGTTCCAACCACCTC